ATTGAATCATTTCATTAATTGGGCAAAAATTAATTTTTTCCTGACAACATTAGCTGCCAGGGAAGTTGCACGTCGCAAGAGAGCCACAAAGACTGCCTACCAACTTTACGCAATGAGCTCATGATTCTAATAGGTAGGAAGAGACACCTTAACACTAACATTAGGGTTTTCTCTACAATAATTCATGCGCGGCGACGCTGAAACATTCGCCGGAATACCCAGCGAGGGAACCCAGTGACGTAATCAGGGGAGAGAGTTCATCTCCGGTTAAATACCGGATTATCACAGCTGGTTGTCGGCGCCTCCGCAGACCGACTAGATGGCTATCCTCGTCCAGTGATTCACCCTCACTCTGGCGAGGGCTGGCGGCGTGGATGGCGACGGCGAGGCTGTGGTCAGGTCACAGACTCCCCATTCAGCTCTTCTCCTCAGCTGGCGGCGTGGGGCGTCTCAGAGTCGTCAAAGACGGGAAGGCTCAGAGTCAGCTCGACGACAGGCGGGCGTAATGCGGGCTTGAATGGGCCCGAGACGGCACAGATTGACGAACACAGATTGACGCGTAGTCTGCGCGGGTCTTAGGTTCGGTGAAAAATCGCGCTCGGTGGCAAAGTTCAGCCCTGCGAGCCGAAATTAACTATGTTCCTCATTCCACAGAGTCTTAGCTAAGAGCCACGTCTTATCTCCTACAAGTCCCGATCAGTAATGTAATGTTTCTCTCAGTGGCGATTGGCAGCAAAGTTTTGTAATGTACTGCTAAGTTGCGATCGATGGCAAAGTTCTGTTATGCAATGTTTCTATAAGTCGCGATCGAGAAAAAGTCTTGTAAAGCTATCTCTAGTGTAATCTGTCGGGTAATGGTTCCTTCTACTTAGCTCCCGGCCGAGCTCGCCTCTGTTTCCCCCTCCTGAAAACGTCTCAGGACCCATAGCTTTGCCCCTCCCTTACGGGGAGATTCATAGGCCGAAACTATATGCGTTGCAATTTTATGTCACCCCCATCGGAACGCTCTGTTCCTGGAATTTTGCTGGGCGATCTCTTTTTCTCTCTCTCTCTCTCTCTCTCTCTGTCTCTCTCTCTCTCTCTGTCTCTCTCTGTCTCTCTCTGTCTCTCTCTCTCTGTCTCTCTCTCTGTCTGTCTCTGTCTGTCTCTCTCTCTCTGTCTCTCTCTGTCTGTCTGTCTCTCTCTCTGTCTGTCTCTCTCTCTCTCTCTGTCTGTCTCTCTCTCTCTCTCTCTCTCTCTGTCTCTCTCTGTCTGTCTGTCTCTCTCTC